CGAACTGTGGGGAGCCGGGCAGCGCGCGGTAGATGAAAGGCGCGAAACGAGAGTGCACGCGCGCTGCCCGACCACACACACACACAGCTCTGTAAAGCTCCGATTTGCGGCGCCGGGACCAGCCCGACACCAGAAGTGGAGCACCCACGGGGACACACCTCGAAGAACGATCGTTACTGCACGAAGTGAGTAACTTCCTTTTCCGCATGTGGCTGAAGGGTTTGGGTGGCTGGAAAAGATTAGTGGGAACGTTGGACTGTACTTGGGACTGTCAGCCCTGCCCTCTTGCCCTGGACCTAAGAACTCTTTCAGCTTGAAGCAGGGTAGGGCAGAACTGCCACTAGAGGGCAGTATGATCACGTCCACATTGTGTTGCCTAATCCCACTCTAGCAATGGGGCGGACTCATTCTGGTGCCACTTCTGGATTCTCAGGGTATGTCTACACTTCAGGACACATTCAAAGTAAGCCACGCCACTTCAGTGACGTTAATGGCGTTGCTGAAGTCGAAGTAGCTTAACTTGGCTTTTGGCACTGTTGCTGCAGGAAGTCAAAGGGAGAACGTTCTCCCTTCGACTTCCCCTACTCCTTGTGGAAGCAGGGTTACTGGCATCGACCAGCGCACCCCTGTCACTTTGAATTAGCCGTTAACCGCTAATTCAACAGCAGTCGCTTCCATCTTCCTTTGTAGTGTAGACGTACCCTAGTTCCCTGCCTTCCTGTGATGCCTCTTGCTTTTCCTTCACCGTGTTTAGCTTTCCAAAGGGGTTGACAGATACATTGCCCAGTACGAAAATGGGAAGTCTTCTGAGGACAGAAACACCCTCATCATCTACCTGGACAAGGTAAGACGCTACAGGGGGTTTTCTGATCTTGTGTTAAACTCAGACTCCGGCTTCACCCATCTTGCACTCTCTGATGTTCCCAAAGATCCAGAAAGTCTGGGAGTGGAATAACTGGTGGCACAGTCACCCAGAGGATCAACTGGGCAGAGTTCCTATAGTCTTTAAAGGGAGCTTCACCATCTAACACCACTTGCTGAAACTGATCTCCAGTCTACTACTCTGTCTCCTTCTGCCTCCTCTCTTTTGAGCCTTTCTCTCTCCTCTTCCATTTCTTCCTTTCCAGAGACCCACGCGTTGCTCATCTGTGCTTTCCCCACCTAGGTGTCACATTTGGAGGAGGAGTGCCTACAGTTTAAAGTACACCAGTTTTTTGAAGTCGGTCTCATTCAGCCAGGAGCTGTCAAGGTCTATGAATATTACTCGTTAGGTGAGCCGTATCTTTTCTCATCACTGGGTCATGCCCAATCTGTCCCTTCCTCTCACACACTGGGCAAATTTCCCCCCTGTTCCCATAGCACCAAACTTCTTATGGCAGGGCAGAAATTGATCAAATGCCTGAATAAGAAAAGCAGCAGTTGGCACAGTAGCTAGAACGAAAGTGACAAGAGTTCCCACTCGTCATGCTCCAGAGCATGCGTTGGCCACCCGCCGGGAGCAGGGGAGAACAGATAAGCATAGTCAAGGTGCGTTTTGAGTCTTCCTGGGCTGTACGTGGCCTTGGTTACTGTCTGAGGCTAGGTTTACACGACACCTTTTTTTTGGAAAAAAAGTACGCAAAATGCTCCCTGACACTTGCATACCTTTTTCTGATTTTTTTTTTTTTTTTTTGGAAGAGGGTTTTCTGAAATTTGGCCCGTCTGCATTGGGCCAAATTTCAAAAAATCCCCCTCTTTCAGAAGATCCATTCTTCCTCGTAGAACAGGGAAGACAGGGCTTCCAAAAGAGTGTGTTTCCTCTTCTGCAAAAAGTGGAAGAGCAAACGCATTCCCTGGACGTGGCAGAGTTTTTCCGGGATACCGCCAATATCCTGGAAAACCCCCACAGTCTAGATGTACCCGGAGAGAGGAGACAGTCTTAGAAAGGTGAGTCAGGAAATTCCTATCCAGAGCCAAACTTCCACAAAGCTTAGACTGCTCAGACATTGAGGGCAATTAATCACTGGAACATGCCACCATGGGAAATCATAGAATCTAGAAGATCAGGGTTTGACAAAGCCCTGGTGGATGGTTTAGTTAGAGTTGGTCCTGCTTTTAATACGGAGCTGGATTCAATGACCTCCTAAGGTCTCTTTCCAGCCCTGGGATTCTATGATTCTAGGGTTGGAAAGAGACCTTCTGTTAAAAGCAGAACCAGCCCCAACTAAATCATCCCAGCCAGGGCTTTGTCAAGGTGGGGCTTAAAAACCTCTAGGGATGGAGATTCTCCCACCTCCCTAGGGAACCCATCCCAGGGCTTCACCACCCTACTATGGAAATACAGGGCGTCCCAGCTATAAGTCGTCCTGGGATACACCCGTTACGCACTAAAGTTGTTGATGCTTGTAGGAACTGATACATTATAAGTCCTCCCATTCCCCACTCTTAAGTTGTGCAAAAAATAACCCCCCCAATGTATTAAAATCAAAGTCAGGCACTGGGGAAAAATTCCCCGCTTTAAGTTGTTTCACTATAAGTCCGAGTTTTTCGGAACCTATCTTGGACTTCTAATGAGGACAGGCCACAGTTTTTCCTAATATTCAATCTCGACTTCCCACACTGCAACTTGAGACCATTGCTCCTTGTTCTGCCATGTGCCCCCACTGAGAACAGCCTCTCTCCATCCTCTTTGGAACCCCCCTTCAGGTAGTTGAAGGCTGCTCTCAAATCCCCCCTCACTCTTCTCTGCTGCAGACTAAACAAACCCAAACCCCTCAGCCTCTCCTCATAGGTCATGTGCTCCAGCCCCTCATCATTGTGGTCGCCCTCTGCTGGACCCTCTCCAATGCGTCCACATCTGTTATGGATGGCCCAGAGTTTGACAACAGGACTAGAGATGTGACAAACATACTACCTAGCTTTCAAAGGGGTAACAAAGAGGACTTGGGGAATTACAGACTAGTTGGCTGAATTTCAATACCAGGAAAGATACTGGAACAATTTATTAAGCTGACAATTTGTAAGCATGAAGAGGATAATAGGGTTATACGGAATAGCCTGCATGTTTTATAAAGAACATATCCCAATCCAACCTCATTTCCTTGTTTGACAGGATTACTGGCCAAGTGAATAAAGAGGAAGAAGGAAATGTGATATATCTTGAGTTTGGTAAGATTTTTGCCACAGTCCTACATGACATTCTCATAGGGAAATGTGGTCTTGGTGAATGTCCATCAGGTGGACACACGTCTAGGTTGAAAGACCATACTCAAGATGGTTCACTGTCAAACTGGAAGGATGTATTTAGCCAGGTCCAACAGGAGTCAGTCCTGGGGCTGGTAGTATTGAATATTTTCATTAATGCCTTGGGGTATGTCTACACTACCCCGCTAGTTCGAACTAGCGGGGTAGTGTAGACATACCCTGGGTGTGGTCTCACCAGTGCCAAATAAAGGGGACTAATCATTTCTCTAGATCTGCTGGCAATGCTCCTCCTGATGCATCCCCAATATGCCATTAGCCTTCTTGGCTACAAGGGGATGGCTGCTTCATGTCCTCCTGAAATCAAAAAGACAAACTGGGAGAGGCCAAGTCTGTTATTGAGCCAACTGCTGCTGGAGAGAGAGAGACGCACGTTCGAGTCGCTCCGAGCTCTTCTTCAGGCCTGGGAAAGGTGCTCAGAGCATCCCGGCTGACGGCACGGTGGAAGAGACCGGTCAGCGACTCGTCTGGCCTGAAAGTCTCTGAATCAATTAAATGAAGAGATGAGGGTTCGGTTCACGGTAGTCTCTAGACTGACTGGCCAAGCCCGTTGGCCTCTTCTGGGGCCCAGCTGTGCCTCAGTGTCCCCGACAGACTCAAGGCATTAGAATCTCTCCCACCGCTCCGCTTGGTTCTAGATCTTAGTCATGACTGAGACTTTGCTCCATCAGTGCTGTGACAGCGACCTCAGTGGGAGGCTGGCTTGGGTACGGGCTCCAGGGCTGCCCCCGAGAGCTCCAGTCTATGTGAAGGGGTCGCTTCCCATCAGGAGCAGAAAAAGCTTCCTGGAGATGGGCTGGCCACCGGCGCCCAAACTGGGGCCACCCCTCCCTGCCACCGAAGTCCTGTCCCCGTGCCACCCCTAGTCCACAAGTCCCCCATCTGCCCATTCCCTCGAGGCCCCACCCTTGCATTGCCAAGCCCTGCCTTGGCCCCGCCTCTTCCTCCCAGGCCCCGCCCTCACACCACCTCTTCCCCACCCATTCCACCAAGGCCCTGTCCTTGCACCACCCCATCTTGAACCCCCACCCTTGCACAGCCCGTTCCTTCGAGGCCCCGCCCTCGCATTGCCAAGCCCCACCCTGGCCCTGCCTCTTCATCCCAGGCCCCGCCCTCGACCACCTCCTCCTCAGAGCCCCTGCCTACATGCCACCCCTTCTCCCTGTGCCGCCTCTTCCCCGAAAGACCCAGCGCCCCACTCCCTCTTTTCCACCCCTCCTCCCTTGCACATCCCACCAGCTGTCCACCTCATACCCCACCAATTCCAGCACCCTGCTTCCTATCTCCAGGAGGCTTCCTCACAGTCACAAGCCATGGGATGGATGGGGGATGGCAGGTGAAATTCTACAGCTTCTGATGCAGGGGGTCAGGTGAGATCCCAGGGGTGCCTTGCGTCCTTAAACTCTCCTCCTCTGCTCTCTCCTTAGATGACCGATGCATCACCTTCTACCGCCTGCCTCAGGAGAGCGGCTTGCTCAATAGGATCTGCCACGGGGATATTTGCCGGTGTGCAGAAGGTGAGGAGAGTCCAGCAACTGCTTATGTCACCCACACCCCTGCTGGCTTTGGGTCACCGGCCCATGGAGTGGTCCTCAGACCACTTACAGCATGTGTGCGCTCTACCGCCTTAGCTGAGAGCCCCCTGGCTTTTAGCTCCAGCTGCAGAGGCTCATGCTCTTTGGGTATGTCTACACTAGAAAGTTAGTTCGAACTAACGTCCGTTAGTTCGAACTAACTTTCCTATGCGCTACACTAGCGCTCCGCTAGTTCGATTCAAATTCGAACTAGCGGAGCGCTAGTGTAGCGCATAGGAAAGTTAGTTCGAACTAACGTCCGTTAGTTCGAACTAACTTTCCTATGCGCTACACTAGCGCTCCGCTAGTTCGATTCAAATTCGAACTAGCGGAGCGCTAGTGTAGCGCATAGGAAAGTTAGTTCGAACTAACGTCCGTTAGTTCGAACTAACTTTCCTATGCGCTACACTAGCGCTCCGCTAGTTCGATTCAAATTCGAACTAGCGGAGCGCTAGTGTAGCGCATAGGAAAGTTAGTTCGAACTAACGTCCGTTAGTTCGAACTAACTTTCCTATGCGCTACACTAGCGCTCCGCTAGTTCGATTCAAATTCGAACTAGCGGAGCGCTAGTGTAGCGCATAGGAAAGTTAGTTCGAACTAACGTCCGTTAGTTCGAACTAACTTTCCTATGCGCTACACTAGCGCTCCGCTAGTTCGATTCAAATTCGAACTAGCGGAGCGCTAGTGTAGCGCATAGGAAAGTTAGTTCGAACTAACGTCCGTTAGTTCGAACTAACTTTCCTATGCGCTACACTAGCGCTCCGCTAGTTCGATTCAAATTCGAACTAGCGGAGCGCTAGTGTAGCGCATAGGAAAGTTAGTTCGAACTAACGTCCGTTAGTTCGAACTAACTTTCCTATGCGCTACACTAGCGCTCCGCTAGTTCGATTCAAATTCGAACTAGCGGAGCGCTAGTGTAGCGCATAGGAAAGTTAGTTCGAACTAACGTCCGTTAGTTCGAACTAACTTTCCTATGCGCTACACTAGCGCTCCGCTAGTTCGATTCAAATTCGAACTAGCGGAGCGCTAGTGTAGCGCATAGGAAAGTTAGTTCGAACTAACGTCCGTTAGTTCGAACTAACTTTCCTATGCGCTACACTAGCGCTCCGCTAGTTCGATTCAAATTCGAACTAGCGGAGCGCTAGTGTAGCGCATAGGAAAGTTAGTTCGAACTAACGTCCGTTAGTTCGAACTAACTTTCCTATGCGCTACACTAGCGCTCCGCTAGTTCGATTCAAATTCGAACTAGCGGAGCGCTAGTGTAGCGCATAGGAAAGTTAGTTCGAACTAACGTCCGTTAGTTCGAACTAACTTTCCTATGCGCTACACTAGCGCTCCGCTAGTTCGATTCAAATTCGAACTAGCGGAGCGCTAGTGTAGCGCATAGGAAAGTTAGTTCGAACTAACGTCCGTTAGTTCGAACTAACTTTCCTATGCGCTACACTAGCGCTCCGCTAGTTCGATTCAAATTCGAACTAGCGGAGCGCTAGTGTAGCGCATAGGAAAGTTAGTTCGAACTAACGTCCGTTAGTTCGAACTAACTTTCCTATGCGCTACACTAGCGCTCCGCTAGTTCGATTCAAATTCGAACTAGCGGAGCGCTAGTGTAGCGCATAGGAAAGTTAGTTCGAACTAACGTCCGTTAGTTCGAACTAACTTTCCTATGCGCTACACTAGCGCTCCGCTAGTTCGATTCAAATTCGAACTAGCGGAGCGCTTAGTTCGAACTAGGTAAACCTCATTTTACGAGGACTAACGCCTAGTTCGAACTAGCTAGTTCGAACTAAGGGCTGTGTAGCCCTTTAGTTCGAACTAGCGCTGTAGTGTAGACGTACCCTAAGTTCCAGAGGGCCCAGGTTCAGTTCTGCCTGTTGGCGTTACGCTTTCACCCGAGTAGGCTCGGGTTCAGGATTTTGGACCATTTACTAACAAGCTCTGGCTCTCCTAGCTCTGGTCTACACTCGGGAGTTATTTCAAAATATCCCCTCTGATTCTGAATGTCTAAGTGGAGCGTCTGCACTACCAAGGCTGTTATTTTGAAAAAACGGGCCGGTAATTTGGAAATCTGCACTCCAGCTTTCCTTGGGGAATAACGCTTATTCCAAAATAGTGTGGATGCTCCGGTGCCAGTATTTCGAAATGACTGCTCCCCAGAGTCATTGAACTAATTACTCCCCAGTGCTTCCTGGGGCTCTAAGTCAAGATAGCACGTCCACATTGAGGGAGTCTGACTCACACTAATTTCAAGGCTTCCCAGTAGTGCACGCTATTTCCATTTTTTTATTTCTGGAGGTATGATGTCAATATCACAGAATCATAGAACCCTAGAGCTGGAAGGGATCTCGAGAGGTCATCGAATCCAGTCCCCTGCCTTCATGGCAGCACCAAGCACCACCTGACAGGTGTCTGTCCCACCTGCTCTTAAATATCTCCAGAGATGGAGATTCTACAACCTCCCTAGCCAATTTATTCCAGTGTTTAATCACCTTGACAGTCAGGAAGCTTTTCCTAATGTCCAGCCTAAAGCTCCCTTGCTGCAATTTAAGCCCATTGCTTCTTGTCCTATTCTCAGAGGCCTGGAGAACAATTTTTCTCCCTCTTCCTTTCAGCATCCTTTCAGATACTTGAAAACTGCTATCATGTCCCCTCTCAGTCTTCTCTTTCCGAACTAAACAAACTCAGTTCTTTCAGTCTTCCCCTGTAGGCCATGTTTTCGAGACCTTTCGTCATTTTTGCTGCTCTTCTCTGAACTGTCTCCAATTTCTCCACATCTTTCTTGAACTCTGGGGCCCAGAACTGGACACAAGAGTCCAATTGAGTCCTAATCAGTGCAGAGTAGAGCAGAAGAATGACTTCTCATGTCTTGCTCACAACGCTCCAGCTCATGCAGCCCCGAATCATGTTTGCTTTTTTTGCAACAGTCTCACACTGTTGACTCACTATGCTCCACTATGAACCCTCAATCCCTTTCTGCAGTACTCCTTCCTAAACAGTCACTTCCCCTTCTGTGTGTGTGAAACTGATTGTTCCTTCCTAAGTGGAGCACTTTGCATTTCTCCTTATTAAATTTCATCCTGTTTACCTCAGACCATTTCTCTAGTTTGTCCAGATTATTTTGAATTATGACCCTGTCCTCCAAAGCACTTGCAACCCCTCCCAGCTTGCTATCATCTGCAAACTTAATGAGTGTCCTCTCTGTGCCAATATCTAAATCAGTGTTTCTTAAACTGTGTTCCTCGGCACACCAGTGTGCCATGAGGCAGTCAGAGCTGTGCCGCGGAGAACAACTGAATTCAAAATGGCCACCCTTAAAGGGGCAGGTGACTTTTTTTTCCCAATAACTTCCCCCTGACCCTTCCCCCCGCCCCCCAACCTTTTTTTGTTTTTGTTTTCTTTGTTTTTCTTAACAAAAAAATCCTCGGTGTTCCTCATAAAAAAAATTATTGTTTGGTGTTCCTCGGTCCTAAAAAGTTTAAGAAACACTGATCTAAATCATTGATGAAGATATTCAATAGAACCAGTCCCGAAACAGACCCCTGCGGAACCCCACTTGTTATGCCCTTACAGCATGACTGATTTTGATTTTAGTTATTTTGAAATAATTTCCTAGTATAGGCATCCCCCTAGAGTGCTTTTAATGTTTAGATAGTGCCAAATTTTTGAGGGTGGGGGAGATCCAAAGCAAACCATTTGGTGAATTGGACACAAATTCACGAACTAGTTCGGTGCCACCGATTCAGTGTGACTCTCTCTCCTTCCTTCCCCTCCCCCAGAAAACTGCTTCCTCCAGCACAAGACGAGCGAGTCTCTCACCCTGCACAAACGGATTGAGATGGCATGCGAATCCACTGTCGATTATGGTAAGACCACTGTTGGGAGTCTTCCGTGTGTGAGGAGGGACGCTCTGGATCTGAGGGAGAACCTCAGGGCCGGAGTGGGATTTACCAGTAAAAAGATGCGTTTGATTTTGGGGTCTTCCCACAAAGTGGCAGAAATCTCAAAAAAAAATCAGCAGTTCTTATGAGATCTCACCTGCTTGACCAACAAGATCTGGAAAATGGACCTCCTCTGATTTCGAACCCACTCCAGAGCCAAACCCATAGGGGCTCAGAAGTCAAATCCAACCTCTTGCATAGAAAAACTTAAAGAACAAGGAATAGTCTAGCAGCACCTTAGATGGGATCAGGAGCTTTCGTGGGCACAACCCACTTCTTCAGATGAATGGCGCATTAACTGTCTAGTTCCAAAATAAATAGGGGATGGGAGAGAGAGGGTACGTCTAGACTACAGGCTTTTGTCGACAGAGGCTTTCTTGACAGATACTATCAACAAAGTTGTTGACAAAGAACATCTAGACGACACCCAGTTCTGTCAACGAAGCAAGCCGCTTTGTCGACATGAGAGTGTAGTGCAGATGCAAAACGCCTTCTGTCCACAGAACTCTGTTGACAAAAGACATTATTCCTTGTAGAATGAGGTTTACTGCCGTCAACGAAACTGCTGCGTTCTGTCAACATTATGTTGACAGAACTCGGCAGTAGTGTTGACGCAGGTATAGTTTTGTCGACAAAACCCTGTAATCTAGACACACCCCGAGAAAAAAGGGAAAGGGAGGGGAATCAATGAAAGTTTATGTTACATGATTAGGGCTTGGCTATGAACAATAGATTGAGAAACGTGTCTTGAATGGAAGCTAGAGGCAGGAATGTAAGTGTAGCGGATAGTAGGTTTCCAGTATAAGGTGGTGGAAATGTGTCCGTCATGCATTTGTATTGTAGTTTCAAGGAAGTGTCTCTCTCATGTGTTCTGAGCAAAACATGAGAAGTCATTCTTCCGCTCTAGTCTGCACTGGTTAGGCCTCAGTTGGATTATTGTATCCAGTTCTGGGCGCCGCATTTCAAGAAAGATGTGGAGAAATTGGAGAAGGTCCAGAGAAGAGCAACAAGTATGATGAAAGGTCTAGAGAACATGACCAGTGAGGGAAGACTGAAAGAACTGGGCTTGTTTAGTTTGGAAAGGAGAAGACTGAGAGGAGACATGATAATGGTTTTCAGGGTATCTAAAAGGGTGTCATAAAGAGGAGGGAGAAAAAATGTTCTCCTTAGCCTCTGAGGATAAACCAAGAAGCAACGGGCTTGAACTGCAGCAAGGGAGGTTCAGGTTGGACATTAGGAAAAACTTCCTAACTGTCAGGGTGGTTAAACACTGGAAAAAGTTGCCTAAGGAGGTTGTAGAATCTCCATCCCTGGAGATATTTAAGAGCAGGTTGGACACACCCCTATCAGGGATGATCTAGACAGTACTGGGTCGTGCCGGGAGGGCAGGGGACTGGACTTGACGACGTCTCGAGATCCCTTTCAGTTCTAGTGTTCTAGGATTCTATGACTGATCTCGGCTGAGGCTGATGGTGGGGTGGAAGTTGTTGAAATCCCTGTGGAATTCTTCAAGGGTCTCTTTCCCGTGGGTCCATATGACTCTAATTTACTTTTGCCCCCTCTCCCCCCATCCCCTACTATTTATTTTGGAACTGGACCTTTAATGCGCCATTCATCTGGAGAAGGTTTTCCCGTTACTGACTCACTCGGCTTCCCCTCTGAAACTCTTGCATTGAGTTATTCTGCGTGGCAAATGGCTGATGCTAACGTGATGGGTTCCACGCTTTTCCTTAGGGTGGTGGGCCAGGGGGCTGTCCTTGCCCCTATTCTTGGGCTCTGCTAATGCCCTGGAGCGGGAGAGAAGAGGAGCAGAGGAGGGATCCAATTCCACCCCCTCTTCCAGGTCCCAGTCCTTCTAGCTTTGCAGATTTCCCCTTGGGCAGGGTTTGCCTTCCCCTGAAACGCCGATCCTCTGGTCTGTGAACCCCAGTTTAGGCACAATCCAAAGAAAAATGCATTGGAAACCGTATTCCCAACTCTACATATAAAATGATGGGGTCTGAATGAGCTGTTCCGCCTCAAGAGCGAGAGCTTGGAGTCACTGTGGAGGGGTCTCTGAAAACATCCCCTCCACATGCAGCCGCAGCCAAAAGAGCCACCAGGACTTTGAGAATATTAAGAAATTGCTCGATTCAAAAAGACAGGAAACATCACAATGTCTCTCTGCAAACCCACCTCTTGACTGCTGTGTGGAGACGTGGGTCGCCGCCTCTCAAAAAAGATACGCTGGCATTGGAAAAAGTTCAGAAAAGGGAAACAAAAATGATTAGGAATCTAGCCCGCCTGCCCTACGAGGAGAGATTAATAAGCCTGGGACTTTTCGGCTCGGAAAAGAGCCGATGAAGGGGCGATAGGACACAGGTCCATAAAATCATGACAGCTATGGAGAAAGTGAAACAAGGAAAAGCTATTTACTTGTTCACATCACACAAAAACTAGGGGTGGCCCAATGAAATTAACAGGCTGCAGGTTTAAAACAAACAAAAGGAAGTATTTTTTCACCCAGTGCACAGTCAACCTGTGGAACTCCTTGCCAGAGGATGTTATGAAGCCCAAGAGTATACCAGGGCTCAAAAAGAACTAGATAAGCTCACAGGACAGGTCCATCAATGGCTACTAGCCACGATGGGCCGGGATGGTGTCCCCACCCTCTGATTGCCAGAAGCTTGGAATGGGCGACTGAGGATGGATCATCTGGCGATTGCTTGTTCTCTTCATTCCCTCTGGGGCACCTGGCACTGGCCCCTGGTGGAGAGGGCTCTTTCAGTTTTGGTTGGACGTATCTCTGGAGATCCAATCACATGACATCTTCTTTAATTAAAATGAATCTTTAATTCCTGGAGACTCCAGGCCAATCCTGGAGATGCCCTGCTATCGGTCTGATTCTCCGTGCCCATTCGTAGGTTCTGACGCCACATTGTCCCTTGATGAAACTGCCTGGCTACCATGGTTGTCCCCGTGGTCAGCGCCAGATCAAAAGAATGACGCGAAACTCCTACTCCAAGCCCCAGGGGGAATCTTAGCACAAATTGAAGGGATCCAGCGGCCTTCTACCTGGCTTGTTTGATTCTCTCCACTGCTCCATGCACTGGCCCCACTCCCATTTCCCTACCGCAAACTGCGACAGGCTTTCACCGGTGTCATTTTCTCTCCCCTCAGTGTATAAAACCAAGCTGGTTGGAACTGGACAATCCAACAATTATGACAATTACATGATGGACATTTTGCAAGTCATTAAAACAGGTAAGAGCGCCCCCTTCTGGACCTTGAGAAACAACCCTCCCCCACCCCGCCAGCTCCCCCACCTGGAATAGCTCAAGGTCCATCTTTCTCCTCCTCCTCAGGGACAGATGAAAATCCCCTCAGAACCGTTCGCCCATTCATCAGCCACGTGAAATGCAGGGACTCTCTGAAGCTGGAGCTGAACAAGGACTACTTGATCTGGGGACACAGAAATGACCTGTGGGCCTTGAAAACTAAGTAAGTAACCAGCCCTCCAGGCTCCTGCGGGGTAGGGACGGAGGCTGCCGCTGCAGGTCCGCCTTGCCTCATGTGAGCGGCCACCCTTGCATTTCATGAGGGCAAATCCAGGCAAAAGTGCTGGTGGTGTCTCCAAGCCGTCAAGGGTGGAGCAGCACTGAATGGGGGTGAAATACTAATTTATTGAGTCTTTCTTTTCCTTATTGTCTGTGTGCTGTGAATTTGCCCCGCCTCTTGCGAGGCTGGGTGAGGTTCCTGGGGGGACTGGTTGGGCTCTGACCTGGTGGGATAGTAGCCAGACACACTCCCAGATGATAGCAGGTGACCAGGGGAGAGGAGGTGTGATCTGAAACGGCTGCCCTTGGTCTACATTGTCCAGTAACTTCAGCTGAACTTCCTCCTTGAGTTCAGTAGCCCCAGGGCAGCCAGGGCCCTCCCAGTCCATAACCAGGGAGTCCCAAAATGACACCTTCCCCTCATGGCCATCCCGAGGGGAGCACAGGGCATGGGACAATCCCCAGCGCAGGCCCCGTCCCTCCCCTGACTCCACCCCTTCCCAAGCTCCACCCCCTCTTACAACCTCCCCCGAGGGGATTCCAGGAACCACACAGGCGGCGGGAGCTGGAGCAACCCAGCACCCTGCTCTGCCCGGCCGCCTTCTCCTAACTCGCTGTGTCTTGCTTCTCCGCGGTGGCTGCTGAGGGGGCCCCTAAAGCCTGGGGTGGCTGCCCCGATCCATCCTATGGCTGGGACGGCTCTGTTCCTCTCTAACAAGGGGAGGCTTCCCTCCAGATAGGGGTAGCTGAATGCAGAGTGTTGCATGCTGGGAATGTAGTTTCTGGCTTGACTCCCCTTCTTCTTAACAAGGGGAAAAGTGGACGCAGTTAGACGAGATCAGGCGTGGTCCTCAGGCTCCGGCTGCTTCAGGATCTGGGGTGGGCTGACCCAGGACCTCTGGAAGTGAAAGCAGGAGCCACTACGGCCATAGCGCAACACCCCTTCCCCGTCGGCCCCACTGGTGACAGACTCAGCGAGCGCTGGCTGAGGCCCAGTCTCCCCCCTGCATGGGTGTGGGTGCCTGCAGGAGGCAGGCAGGTTGGTATATCCCACCATCCCAGGCACCCAGCATCTCCCTCTCCCTTCCAGCGTCTCCTACCTCGTTAGCAAGGACACCTGGCTGGAGGAGTGGCCCAGCGAAGAAGACTGTCAGGAGAAGAAATTCCAGAGCCAGTGCCAGGATTTGGATTTTTTCTCCCAAGCCTTGACCATGGACGGCTGCCTCACTTAAACGCAGGCTCAGCGCCCTCAGCCAGAGGGCATGGTCTGAGCCCACCTGGCTTGTGCGCCCTCTCCTGCCCCCGTACCAGCCTTTCCTGGAGATATAAAGTGCCTGACTTCTCCCAGGCGCTGTTGTGTGGGTTTTTACCGATATCGCCTAGTCGAATGCTACGGTACCAGGCGTGTGGTACCATGGGGCATCGGTTCGATGAATCAGGGACGTCCTTACAAGCTGTGGTGCCCTACGCAGCCCCCCACGAGGTGGCTCCTTTGTGGGGAGGCTGTGGGGCAGACGCTGCGGGGGGCATGCACAGAGCTCGGGGGGGCAGGAGCAGGTCGTGCTCACCTCCAGCGGAAGGGGGAGGCTCTGCTTCCCTGGCTCTCAGCTGTGTTGCTTGGGGCAGGGGCCTTGGGGAAGGAGTGAAACCACCCCCACAGTCACCCGCAGTTGGGTTGCTCTGCGTCCCCACCCCTGCTGCCAGCCCCAGGGCCCCACTAACCCCTGAGCATGTCGCTCAGGGAAGGGGTGGAGTGTGGGCAGGCGGGGGGTGGAAGGGTCCCGGGCACCGCACCCACCATAGGAATGGTCCTGCTGGGTGCAGCCCACGGTGGGGTGGAGGGCTGAAGGATGGGGAGACTGCATGCAGCTGCCCCACATTTCACGGTGCCCTGGCAGCTGGGTATTTTGTGCATTGGTAGGGGCGCCCCTGCGGGTAATGTATGAATCTTTCAAGGGGAGGACATGCCAGGTACTTGCAGATCTTATGTTATTACTGGAAGATGAACCCAGTGTTGCTCGGGTCCTTAATTCACTTATTTTCTGTTTTTCTTCATTGTCATCGTGGCTCTGGGGTGGGGCTCGGGGGGGGGGGGGTTCAGCCTGCAGGCTGCCCGGGGAGCGAGGACAACCCCATCCCTCCCCCACCACAGCAGCTTGGGGCCAGGTGAGACGCGCTTCTCCATGGCTGCTGCAGCTCCTGCGGGCACAGCCGGGGGAGGGGTGCACATCCCCCGGCCGGGGCAGTGTCGTGTGCTTCGGTTTTTAGATACGAGAGGAGACCGTCAAAACACCTCAGCTGAACTCTTGTTAACTTTATTGTGCACAGAATAGTAAAGGAAAGCAGTGCAGAGTTACACAGATCGATTTCAATACACGGGCTAGTTAGCGCAGACAGCGTAACAACACCTTTACCTAGGACAATACACAAGCTACTCGGTTATAAGAATATGAATAAACATGTACTTATTCCTTTGAATCACACACACACACACACACACACACACACACACACACACACACACCTGTTACCCTTACGATTGTCAGACAGGAGGCACGCGCAGGGGCGTCCGCAATGCATCAGGCAGTAGGGACTGGTTCACCCTCTTGTTGCAGTGAGTAAGGTCGTGAGGACACTTTACCCGGTCCCTCCTACTGATTAGATTTCTACCCCTCTATTTATAGCAAAGCGAGACTTGGTCGTTCCAGTCATAGCTACCAATCAACTGCATTTTGCGTAAAATACCGATGATGCCAATAGCTAGGATACACTTTGCAGCGCCAAAATACGACAAAAGCATGTCATTCGTAGTTTTTCTGGCTGTCTCTGGAATTTTTCGCTCATCAAAAATGGGGTGTCCTCGTACCAGGTTGTTTCTGCTCTTTTTGGCCTGGTCTCGCCGTCCTGGACAAGTTCTGCATGATTGGGCCGCACTCCTGAGGTTCCCCCACCCTTTCTGGGCTGGCCTGCGGGCGTACGTACGTGTGCGCCCAGGCTCGAGTCAGACCTGGGGTGGCGTGTTCGAGATCCACCCTTTGGACAAGGCCGGGACGAGGCCTAGCCCTGCAGACAGTGGTCTGGTCAGGGGAGGGCCGTCCAGGCTCCCCTCCAGGCAGGTCCAGGTTTGTCTGCCCCCGGCGCCCCCCAGCCAGAGTGAGGGATGCAGGAAACTGGGCACTTTCCCCGGCTCCCTGACGAAGGGAAACAGCCGGCGATGTCCCCGTACGAATCGGCGGGGGGGGAAGCTTCAGTCCCCCCCCACCCCCAGCCCTTCCCAAAAAGGTGCCTGAGGGGTGGGAGCATCTGGACTGGGCAGTGCCCAACATGGGGGAGGTGGCGCACCCTAGATCCTTTCACCCGCCTAGGGAGTCTGTCACTTTTCCGAATGGGACTGTAGTGGGGTGGAATGGCTGCCTACTGACCCGGAGGGGGAGGAACCCCACTGTGAGCCCTTGTGGGCGGCTGAGGACTGGCCCGGCCCCCCGACCGTACCAGAGGCTGAGGACTGGCCCGGCCCCCCGACCGTACCAGAGGCTGAGGACTGGCCCGGCCCCCCGACCGTACCAGAGGCTGAGGACTGGCCCGGCCCCCCGACCGTACCAGAGGCTGAGGACTGGCCCGGCCCCCCGACCGTACCAGAGGCTGAGGACTGGCCCGGCCCCCCGACCGTACCAGAGGCTGAGGACTGGCCCGGCCCCCCGACCGTACCAGAGGCTGAGGACTGGCCCGGCCCCCCGACCGTACCAGAGGCTGAGGACTGGCCCGGCCCCCCGACCGTACCAGAGGCTGAGGACTGGCCCGGCCCCCCGACCGTACCAGAGGCTGAGGACTGGCCCGGCCCCCCGACCGTACCAGAGGCTGAGGACTGGCCCGGCCCCCCGACCGTACCAGAGGCTGAGGACTGGCCCGGCCCCCCGACCGTACCAGAGGCTGAGGACTGGCCCGGCCCCCCGACCGTACCAGAGGCTGAGGACTGGCCCGGCCCCCCGACCGTACCAGAGGCTGAGGACTGGCCCGGCCCCCCGACCGTACCAGAGGCTGAGGACTGGCCCGGCCCCCCGACCGTACCAGAGGCTGAGGACTGGCCCGGCCCCCCGACCGTACCAGAGGCTGAGGACTGGCCCGGCCCCCCGACCGTACCAGAGGCTGAGGACTGGCCCGTGCCCCCCCTACCATCCACCTAGGGGGAGGCATCCTCCCCCTCAATCTCACCTCGGGAGAGTTGCCTGACCTCCCCCCTCCTGCCCCTTGCCAGTACTTACCTGTAAAGGTCTGGGAGCTTTGACTGCTGCCCCGCCCTGCACCAAGGCCCCGCCAGAGACTACTTCGTTGCCTACCCCCTGCCTCGTCTTAAGGCCGGGCCAGAGATTGCTTAATTACCGGCTCCCCTGCCCTGAGGAACTTTCTGTTTGCTTGCTGCTCCACCCTGAGTTAAGGCTCGGGACCCGAACAGACTGTTGGTCTGGGGCCTGGAACTCACAGGGGCGCTGCGGATGTGGGGGGAGGGGCCGCCCACTGATCCGGAGGGGGAGGAACCCCTCCGTGAGCCCCCCACAACGGGCGACACGGTCCCTGAGAAGTGATCTCATTTCAGGCACATCCCGTTGTCCTGACACAACCAAACCCTGAGCTTGCTTTAAGTTATTTGCCTCCCACAGTTGGTGGTCGTGGCTCTTGCCGGTGTAGAGTTCTTGAACAAATAGACAGAGGGACACACGGGCAGAGACAGAGACACACAAGCACTCGCAAGCACATAGTAGATTCTTTGTATTATTGTCGCTTGGCCCTACCCAACCTACAGGCTGCGAAAAGAAGATGATGATGATAACTTGTCAGAGACCAGGACCCCAGTGCGCCAGGTGCTGTACAGTCACGGAGCAAAAAGGCTGTCCCTGCCCCCAACACGTGCAAAGAACAAGACAAGAGGAAGATACAGACAGACTGGAGGAACAAAGACATACGTACGGGTCAGTATGACAGGCAAGGTTCTCTGCACAACGGCAGCTGAACTGTCGTCAAGTTTTCGGAGGCTACCACAGCCCAGGAGAATTCTGAGGAGGGATTTGAAGAGGGAGACTCGAGAAGCATTGCATAGCTGAGGGTAGAACTGTCTGTCTTTTAACGGTAGATGCTGTGAGAGGTTCTTTTCTGTTAACCCGATCACTAGCCGGTCTTTGATCTTTTCAGGTTTTGCCGTATCCAAAAGCAGTTTTCAGCCCATGCATGCCCAAGCACGTCTAAAAGCTTCAGCATGCTGTCTTGATTCCTCAGTTCTCTAGTGAAAACATGCTCTTTCACAAACCACATTTCTTTGAGGTAAAAATTGTGCATCAAACATCGCCAAAATGCTTTCATAGTCATTTTGTGACAGTCCTCAGTAAAGGTAAAAGATGTAAAGATACAGTCTGGTGGCTTCCTCGTAGCATAAATGAAAGATGATATCAGGATATCTTCATTTTCTTCATTGAGCTTTGTAGTAATGTGTAATCTTGTAATTCTGAAGGTCTGTAAAAAGCAAAATTCGCTGGGCACTGAAGATCCTGCATATTTTGGTGCTTCGTTCCTTCTGTTTACAACCTTCATTGCTGTTTTCCTCCAGTTTCTGCTCTCTTGTGGCATCTGGTAGGCTAATTTTACTTCTGACACCATGTCATATGGCGCTTGTACACAGTAGGTGGCAAGATAGGTTGCTGTACCAGCTATGGACTGATTAGAGAGCTTCTTCCCCAGAGAGATACACCAAGGCTGTGTCTAGACTGGCAAGTTTTTCTGCAAAAGCAGCTGCTTTTGAGGAAAAACTTGCCAGCTGTCTACACTAGCCGCTTGAATTTCCGCAAGCACACTGACTTCCTACTGTCTGAAATCAGTGCTTCTTGCGGAAATACTGTACTGCTCCCGTTCGGGCAAAAGTCCTTTTGCGCGAAAATGGTGATCGGGGCTTTTTTGCAGAAAAGTGTCCGTGCCAATCTAGATGTGCTTTTCCGCAAATGCTTTTAATGGAAAACTTTTCTGTTAAAAGCATTTGCGGAAAATCATGCCAGTCTAGATATAGCCCAGATGTGTTCACTATAAAAGCCTTTAGTTACTGCTAGGAAATACTGTGATCTTAAATAAAATATATTACATATGGTTCCACCTAGTGTCGGAACAGTATAGTAAAAGCTAAATACTATTGCAAAAAAAGAAAAAGCAGCAAACTTCATTCTCGGATGTCTTAGCACAGTGGTTCCCAAACTTTTCGGGATCATGCCTCCCTTTTTGATTTTTGAAAAACCCTCACGCCCTCCCTCCCCCCCAAAAATAGTGGCAAAACTTGTTGCGCAAAAAAAAAGAAAGAGAAAAGAAAA